CTCTCACACACAGATCAAGCCACCCACACTTAGAGAGTCTAGTTTGGTCCCATGTAGATTCCCCAGCTGTCAATCCATAGTTCTTGAGCTCCCACTAGCTCAGGTCAGCTGTCTCTGTGGTTTTCCCCATCATGATCTTGACCACTCCCCTTGCTCATATGATCCTCTTCCCTGTCTTTAACTGAACTCCAGGAGCTCAGCCCAGTGCTTGGCTGTGGGTCATTGCATCTGTTTCCATCAATTACTGGATATAGGTTCTATGATGAAAATTAGGGTAGTCACCAATCTGATTATAGAGGAAGGCCCTTTCAGACACCCTCTCCACTATTGCTAGGAATCTTATTTGGGTTCATCCTTGTGGATTCCTGAGAATTTCTCTAGCACCAGGTTTCTTCCTAACTGAATAGTGGCCCCTCTGTCACTGCTCTTTCACTGCTCTCTCCCCCAGTCCTTCCCCAAACTTCTTCTTGATCCCTCATGTTCTCATCTTCCATCCCTTCCCTTCTACACACCCTCCCAGTTTACCCAGGAGATTTTAATTATTTTCCCTTTCCTGGGGCCTTCCATGTGTGTCCCTTTTATCTAGATTCTCTGGGGTTGTGGGTTGTAGCCTGGTTATCTTTTGCTTTACATCTAATATCCACTTATGAGTGAGTTTATACCGTGCTTGTATTTCTAGGTCTGGGTTACCTTACTCAGGATGTTTTTTTCTAGTTCCATCCATTTGCCTACAAATTTCAAAATGTCATTTTTTTTTACTGCTGAGTAATAGTTCATTTTGTAAATGTACCACATTTTTTAAATCCATTCTTCGGTTGATGACCATCTAGTTTGTTTCCAGGTTCTGGCTACTACAAATAATGCTGGATTAATGAAAAAAATCAGTACTCCTCCTATTTACAAAAGATACATAAGCTGAGAAAGAAATCAGAGAAACATTATCCTTTACAGTAGCCACAAATAACATAAAATATTTTGGGCTACCTCTAGCCAAACAAGTGAAAGATGTATACAACAAGAATTTTAAGTCCTTGAAGGAAGAAATTGAGGAAGAGATCAGAAAATGGAAAGATCTTCCATGCTCTTGGACAGGTAGGATAAACATAGTAAAAAATGGCAATCTTGCCGGGCATTGGTGGCACACGCCTCTAATCCCAGCACTTGAGAGGCAGAGGCAGGTGGATCTCTGTGAGTCCAAGGCCAGCCTGGTCTACAGAGCAAGTTCCAAGTAGGCCTCCAAAACAATACAGAGAAACCCTGTCTCGAAAAACAAAAACAAAAAGAAAACCAAAACCAAAACAAAAACAAAAAATGGCCATTTTACCAAGCAATCTACAGATTCAATGCAATCCCCATCAAAATCCCAATATAATTCTTCACAGATCTTGAAAGAACAATATTCAACTTCATATGGAAAAATAAAAAACTCAGGATAGCCAAAACAACCCTGTACAATAAAGGAACTTCCAGAGGTATCACCATCCCTGACTTTAAGCTCTACTATAGAGCTATAGTAATAAAAACAGACACCTGGATTAGTGGAATCAAATTGAAGATACTGATAATAATCCACACGTATGAACACCTGATTTCTGACAAAGAAGTCAAAATTGTATAATAGAAAAAAAGAAAGCATCTTTGACAAATGGAGCTGGTATGACTGGATATCAACATGTAGAAGAATACAAATAGATCCATATCTGTCACCATGCACAAAGCTCAAGTCCAAATGAATTAAAGTCCTCAATATAAATCCATCCACACTGAACCTGGTAGAAGGGAAAGTGGGAAGTAGCCTTGAACACATGGGCACAGAAGACTACTTCCTAAAAAAATCACCACTAGCTCAGGCACTGAGAGCAACAATCAATAAGTGGGGCCACCTGAAACTAAGAAGCTTCTGTAAGGCAAAGGATAAGGTCAATAAGACAAAATGGAATCCTACAGACTGGGAAAATTATTTACCAGCCCCACATCTGACAGAGGGCTGATCTCCAAAATATATAAAGAACTCAAGAAAGTAGACCCCAAAATACGAAATAATCCAATTAAAAATTCGGTACAGATCTAAACAGAGAATTGTCAACAGAAGAAACTCAAATGGCTGAAAGACATTTAAGGAAATGCTCAACATCCTTAACCATCAGGGAAATGCAAATCAAAATGACTCTGAGATACCATCTTCCACCTATCAGAATGGCTAAGACAAAAAACATCAATGACAGCTTATGCTAGAGAGGATGTGGAGTAAGAACACTCCTCCATTGCTGTGCAAATTTGTACAGCCACTTTGGAAATCAGTATAGTAGTTTCTCAGAAAACTGGGAATCAAGACCCAGCAACAACACTCTTGGACATATACCCAAAGAACACACAATCACACCACAAGGGCATTTGTTCAAATAAATGGTTATTAACATAGGATGTTATTGTTAAAATATGATTCCAAAGCACACCTACACTAATTCCCTACCCTATATACATATGTATTATGCACACATATGTGCATTTGCATAAATACACACATACACATATATGAGAGAGGGGGAGAGGGACACACACACACACAAAGACATAGACTGAGGTATATAAACAGTGAAGGAGGAAGGAGATAATAGTGGTATCTGATAAATTGACAGTATATGTGCATTCCATATTGACAACAACAGCAAAGATCCTTTGGGGGTGTGGATGGCATTCTGAAAAGGGATCATGATACCAAAAAATAAGAGATGGTGGCTAAATTATTCAAACAAAGTCATATGTCAATTTATGTGACTATGCTTAGGACTTTAACTTTGTACAGGAAGACTTATCTCTAGACACTGAGATGGCTTATGAGCTCTAGAAGGTGAAAGAATTTTAAGAGGTCGAAAATAAGTAAGGTCCACAAGCTTGAAATGTGGATATGCTCCAGACTGGAATGGAGTCCTAGGGTAAGCAACTGAGCCATTTTCTTTCTCTTTTCTGAATAAGAAAAGAAGCATGTCTTTCTACATTAGCATTCCTGAGAATAATCCAGTGGAGGAAAGTGATGCCTGAGGAGACCAGGTAGGTTTACTTAATGCTACATACCATGCAAGTGATCAAATATTCCCTTTGGTAGCTATCAGAGGTTGAGTCTCTTCTCTGAACAAATGGGAAAAATTCCTGCTCCTCCTGCCTTACCACATTGCAGGAAAGATAAGAATATCTGCTACCTGATCCCGCAGCTTGCACTTAGTAGATAAACGTGGAGAAATAAGTATGTGTTCAGCTATGCAGGTGGTGTGGATCAGGGTAGTACAGACCCTAACTGAGGGGTCATAAAGGTAATTCCCAACAGAGGGCAACTGGAAAGAGAAACAGACCGAGAAAACTGAGATATTCTCTGCCTAAACTAAAGGTTGCCTGGGGAATTTTGAATTATAATAGTCAGACTTAAGGAAAAAGCGAAAGAGCGTAAGATGCCAGTATTTCTAAGTAAACTCAAACATCCTGCCCCTAAGGTCCTGACCCTCACTGTTGCCGTTCATCTACCTTCCCATCTGTGACCTATCAGAGAATGTGAACTCTGTCTTTGCAAAGCCTCCACAGTCAAGGCAGGAGAGGGCTTTAGAGGCAAAACAATCTCCATGGGAAAAACTCCAAGCTAGAATTTCTTGGATAGAAGGGATGAAACTCAGCATATTCAAGTCTGTTGGGTTAAGTTGATGAGTAGGTGGGGAATTCTCTAGTTAAAAACAAAACAAACAAACAAAAAACAACAAAAAAAGTGTCTTATTTTGTTGGGGCTTTGTTTTGTATTGCTCCCTTCATACAACAGATCTCTATTCTGTTTTATGCAGCAAGACTATTTATAAACTCTCTACCAGCAACTGTAAATCACCAACCACCACAGCTTGAATTTCACTAGTAAGTTTCTCTGTGTCACCAGCCTAGGAGAGCTCAGCGAAGAAGCAGTTTAACTGTACTAGATGAATATCGATGTAAATGTTCGATAATGCTTTGTAACCTAGTCCCTCTGAGGTTCTTTTATTTTTTTTTTCCTACAAGAGCTGCACCAGCATCTGGTTATACTGTGTACGCCCCAGCTCCTTAAACACATAGGTACACACACCCTTGCTTTTTCCCTGCTGGTTACACAGCTGGTGGCTGAAGAGAAACAGGCTCTGGTCTGAGTGAGACCTCACTCTGCCTATCCCAGCCAGGGAGAATGAAAAGATCTGGGTTATTTCACTGATTCATTAGGAATGAGCTTCCCACCCTCCCTTCTCTGTATCTCATCATGTCCTGTCTGCAAAACAGGGAGTTGATGAGACAAAAGCTCCGTCTTTTTCATCTAACATTACTTTAAGTTTGAAAGTTAAAAATTATAAAAGTAAACAAAAATCATGGAAGCCAAATAATGTTGGGCTAATGAAGCAAGAAGCAACAAACTAACTTCCAGGTGTTCTTGAAACGGAAGATATTTTAAAGGTGTAGAACAGTCGGGGAACTGTGCTTTCTGGCCTGGGTGGGTTGGAGAACTGAGAAACCTTGGTTTGGCGCCAAGTTACAATCCTGGGCCCCGTAGGGGGCCAGGCCCAAGTTTGGGAAAACAGTCAAAGTCAGGGGCTTATTGTGATCCAGGCCAAAGCAGAAAGACACGACAGGCAGGTTTCCTTCCTGCCTTGCTCTTATCTGAGGGAGCAGAAGGCAGTAGGAGCATGCCTGGGGTGCAGGTGAAGCTTGTCCACCCTAAGCCGGCCATCAGCTCCAGCTACCCTGTCTTCCCAACTAGCAGCTTCCCACCCCCACTCGCTTCCACTCCAGCGCTTGGGCCCCCTCCCGCTCCTCCGTCAGCACCTCCCTGGCCACTCCCACTGCGTCATAAGCATCCCCAGACCTGCGCTTGCCACAGTCTGTGGGAGACAGGGAGAAAGTGCTGCTCCTGGGCAAGCGCGGTCTCTTCCTCTTTCAACCTGCAGCCCCGGGTACTGATTCGAGCCGCGCCTTACCGCGCAGCCCGAAGGTTCACCATGGTGAAGATCGCCTTCAACACCCCTACTGCGGTTCAAAAGGAGGAGGCTCGGCAAGATGTGGAGGCACTCGTGAGCCGTACTGTCAGAGCTCAGATCCTGGCTGGCAAGGTAGTTCCCACTTGGCCTATGTCTGCCTGCTGGGGTTTGGTAATAGAGAGAGAAGGGTGTGGGTGTGCAGGTGCAGAGGACAAAATGTTGACTGCTCTGCAGTCCTCGAGTTTGAGGCAGGCCAAGTTGCGCTGTTTAAGTTGCCGTGGGCCATCTTTTACTCTGCCTCGATTCGTGCCCCTCTGCATCCATGCGATTCCATCCCTTAACAACAACTATCCCAGGAAGTTGTGGGAAGGAGTTTGAAGAAATTCCTTCATGTCATTTTGTTCTGGGAAACGGGTTATGGAATTAGCCAGAGACACAATTATAGCCACAGGGACAGAGCAGTTACATGGGGTGAAAAAGGGCAAGAGACTTAACTGTTCTTTCTTTACTTTTGACTTGAGTGAAGTACTATGAATCTGTCTTTGTAGAATTGCTGATTGTGGAGGTTGAATGGAGGCAAGGGGCAACCTTAACACCACCAAACTGCATGGGTTGGGGGAAGTCTGTTTCTGCACAACACACACACACACACACACACACACACACACACACACACACACACACACACACGACCTTGTGCGTATTTTTAGGTACTCAGTGCTAACGGTTAGGAAATGGAACTGTCAAAAAAACATATATTGGTTTTAATTCTTGGCCAAACACTTGTAACAATAAATTTTGAGCTACTCTTCTTTTGGTTGTCATTCCTTTTTGAGTAACATCCCACTCCCCTCATGCAGATCTGAAGGACATCAATTGTTGCAATTTAAACAACTCTTTTTCCAGGCACTGGAGAAGTTTCTCCTCCCAGGTTATTTATCTAGTCCAATTTATATTTCTTTTAAAAACCAACCATGTTTGGAGTGTTGATAAACTCTCGTTTTTCCTCAGTAAAATCTCAATTTTAAAAGGCGATTGTATTTTCTTCTGCATCTGTGGAATCTGCAGTAATGGGGCTTGATCTGTCCTAACTTGTCCTGTTGTCTTTAGAAAGTTTTCACTTTTAGAGCAGATATTTGAAAAGTGTTTTGAGGGAGATCTGAATTCATGTAGTAAAACTTAATTATGCACACAATTTGAAATGCTAATGAGCTGCTGTAGAACTTTCATCATGGAAACTTTCAATAGTTAACTCTGCAATCAAACTAGCTTTTGTGTATCACACATTCTGCAACTCAAAAGCAACACACCCTTGCATTGTTGAGGTTTTAATTAAATGACAGAAGGTCAAATATGTAGTTGTCTTCCTACTAACTTTGTAAATGAAACATGGCCAGATTTGAGGGGAGGTCTAACTAGATGCCAGTAGTTAAAAATAGCCACACAGTAATCCTTTTTTCCCCTCACCACCAAAAACTTCATGAGTGGCAGAAAGATTCAATTAATATGTAATACTTTTGCCAGTCCTTTGGTGCATACAAACAAACATCTCCACTTGGATTATATTTCTTTGTTAGGTTTTAGAGAAGCAGCAATAGAACCCTGACATGGCCACTTTGACAGTACTATTTGACATTATATTTCGATATTAGGCCTGATCAACAGAGATTGAGTATGTTGGACTCATATTGGCAAATGATAAACAGTAACTTTTAAAATATACTTCAAGAAGAAATTAGCTATGATAATTGATTCACTCAACTACACTGAATTCCAACAACATTAAACGAAAACAAAAGAAATCCTTATCCCTACTGAATAGGCATGTCTAGTGAAACCAAGACCCTCATACTTCAGCCATGCTTAATGATCAACTTCCTGACTTATTGGAAAAGAGAAATGAAATTACATTATAAATTGTTCTTCTGCTCAGTAATAAGAAAAAAGAAATTCATTCCTCAGAAAACTTCAAATTAAGCTATTATGTGCCTTTTAGCAAGTCATTTTATCTTCCTGCACCTAAATTTAATTATTGAAAATATGTCTTCTAACATCCCACAGCTGTATTACAATAATTCCCAGTCAAAATTTAAAGTCCAGTTTCTGTAGTACTAAATATCAGTTTAGATTTGTAAGGAAAACATCTAGGCATTTCAGTAAGGGTTGAATATAATTGAAGAAATAAGCTTCAATAAATTATTAAGACAATGTGAATCTCAAATTTTGGCCTTTAAAAAAGTCTTTATTTTGTGGACAAAAATTATCAAATGATTTTCTACATTTTGCACATTAACATTCGTTTTTGACCAAATTGATATAAGGTCAGTTAAATATCAAAAACATAGCAACTTCGTGAAAAATTTTAATGGTAAACAAACTAGAATAATTTTTAAAACAATTTTTATTAACAGAACGGAGATTTGCTGCCCACTTATTCTCTCGTTGAGTGATAATGCGGCTGAGGAGTATATTGTGACATGCAAATTGAAAATAGCAGACCTTTCAGTTCCATGCTCCATAGAGGGCGAAGTTAATCAGTTACTTCTTGTTTTGGATTTTTCTTTTTAGAATGCTTCTGCAAATTATTGATTTCATAAAATGTTTAAATCACTGCTTCATAAACAGCTTCTGCATGTAGCAAATCCTCTACTTTCAAAACTAGTGTTTGCTCTAGAACTTGGAAAATAGTACTATTGCAATATATAGAATAGTGGATAATACCAGGAAGCTTTATACTTACTAATAAAATTAAGAATATTATTATTGATATATATATAAAAAGAAAATATATTATTGATCTGAATTAATTTCTGAAATAAAAGGAAGTAATTCATTTCTAACTTCACAATAAAGCTTTTTGAAAACTAGCCAACGGATTGAAGGTTACTAATACTCCTTTAAGTTGATGAATTGTTTTCTAAGCAAGTAGAAAAGTGTCTATTTCTATATTCTAAAATGTCAGTGAAATAGCTCCAATTATTTAAAGAACATACTTTTTAGAGACAACCTGCACTATATCATATCTATAGTTTAAAATATTATTGCATCCATTAAATATTTGTTAAAACACAGATGTATTAAGTATTTTAATAAAAAATCCATTTCTACAAATTAATGATTGTTTAAATATTTTATAAGTACATATTTTAACTATATATATATATATATATATATATATATATTTTTTATTATAACATTTTAGTTTATTTTCAAAATATTTTGGTTTTGGGGGTTGATAAACTGTATACAAAAGCAACTGTCTAAAAGTATAATGTGTTTTTTTTAATTTTTGCTTTTTAATCAATAGGAGCTCAAAGTTGCAGAGCAGGAGAAAGATGGCTCTTCTGGAAGGTGTATGCTTACTCTCTTGGGGATGTCATTCATCTTGGCAGGACTGATTGTTGGTGGAGCCTGCATTTATAAGTACTTCATGCCCAAGGTAATAATTATGATCCTTAATACTCTGAATTACTAATTGCCATGTATTTCATTATCAACCCAAGTAATTATTTGGTGCTAACCAGAGAAATGAAGACTCGAGGAATGTTTTCAAATTACCTTTCAGTCTCTCACATTGCTTAGGCTTCATGATGCTATACCAAACAAGCCTCCGATTAACACAGTGTGATGCACTGATATGAGTGTCCTGGCAGTGAGTATTAGGATGTGTGAAGTCACCCTTTGTCTCTTAGAACACAATTTACCATGGAGAGATGTGCTTCTTTGATTCTGAAGATCCTGTGAATTCTGTTCGTGGAGGAGAGCCATACTTTTTGCCTGTGACTGAGGAGGCTGATATCCGTGAAGATGACAACATTGCAATCATTGATGTGCCTGTGCCCAGTTTCTCAGATAGTGACCCTGCAGCAATTATCCATGACTTTGAGAAGGTTGGTTTCTCTTTCTTGCAGCTATTCAAAAGTTTTCTCTATTCCTTCTTCATTGAAATGCAATGAATCTATTCATAAGTGAACACCTTTTTGAAGCATAGCCCTTTCATTGTGTTGTTGTTGGATAGACTATAATGAATTTTCAAAGAATATCTGGCTGTTTGTTCTAATGGCACTCAGAAAATCTGAAGTATTAATGCCCATCTTTTTTCACCTCCCCAACAGGGAATGACAGCATACCTGGACTTGCTTTTGGGAAACTGTTATCTGATGCCCCTCAATACATCCATTGTTATGACTCCAAAGAATCTGGTGGAGCTTTTTGGCAAATTGGCAGTATGTATTTTAGAGATTATTTTCTCCATAAGCATTTCCAGATAATTTTGCTTCATTATTCAAAAACGTTAATGAGTTGGCCCAGACAGACGTAACTGAAGTATTTTATGTTAATCAATGTAAGCCAGTCAGACAGACAAATACTTTATGTTCTCCTTCATATATGGAAGCTAAAAATATTCACCTGAACACAGAACATTGATTAACAGAAGTTGAGAAGGGAGTGTGTGTAGGGAGGGGTGGATAAAGGGAGGTCGGATTTGATCAATGCATGCTGTGTATTAAGTGCAAATAGCACACTGAATTTGAAACCCATAAATGTATATGTGTATAATAAAAGTAATGTATAAAACCATGCTAAAATGAAATCTATTTTAATAATGTCTATTTTTAAAAGTATGTAAGTGGGAATTTTAATACTGTCTTTTAGAATTTATTATCTTAATATTTTTTCTTTTCACTTTTAGAGTGGCAAGTATTTGCCTCACACTTATGTGGTTCGTGAAGACCTGGTTGCTGTGGAAGAGATTCGTGATGTTAGTAACCTTGGTATTTTTATTTACCAACTTTGCAACAACCGAAAATCCTTCCGCCTTCGACGCAGAGACCTCTTGCTGGGTAGGCAATTTATTATTATTGGGTGAATGGAAGAGGGTGATGGTAGACTGCATGGAAATGAGCGTGATAAATACCTTCTCATGAACACAAAAAACTCAAAAGTCATCTTTTTATGCCTTCACAGGTTTCAACAAGCGTGCCATTGACAAATGCTGGAAAATCAGACACTTCCCCAATGAATTTATTGTTGAGACCAAGATCTGTCAAGAGTGATGAATGGCAGATAAAGAGTATCCTTGGTAATAAGAAGTCAGAAACTTACAGTCTGTCTTTGATAATAAAGTCTCCGGGATACTCACAATATTTACTCATACATTTACTCTATTGCTTATACTGGAAAAGGAAAGGGGGGAGAAAACTACTAACCACTGCAAGCTCTTGTCCAATTGACTTTGCTTGCTGTTTGCAACAAATTAAACAGTTATCTTTTCTTTTGAATTTATAGGGTTTAGATTCTGAAAGCAGCATGAATATGTCATCTAACATCCTGACAATAAAGTCCATCCTTTGTTTTTATTTAAAGCAAGTTCTTGACAAATCATGGATAGAGCGTGCTTTAAAGTCAAAATATCTCAAATCATTTTTGACATTTTTGTGTGAAGCATGTCAAATCTCTTAACATTATTTTGTTTTACTCTTAATTTTGTTCAACTCTCCTGATTTCAGAAATTATATTTTTACATTTCTATCAGGTGCTCTTTAATGAATCTGACTTATATGTGAACAATGTTCATGAGGAAGCAATTTTTACACATGTAATGATTCTTTCTCACTGATATCTGTATTGTGAAATCCACAAACTGTACAGGTGCTGAATGCTGTAAGGAGTTCTGGTTGTGAATTCTACAACCCTATAATAAAGTTTACCATATTCAGTCATGTTTTATTTTGATCACTTGACAAATAATGTGGAAATTATTATGTATTTGGCTTTTGTTTACATGAATCAACCGTATCCATTGCCACTTTTACATATTTACATTTCATAATCTCACACTTTCATTTTGTATTAATTGCTTTTTAAATATCATAAGTTTCATGTCATATAAATTCAACTACTTACAGAGTCTTTAGTTCAGGACCATTGAAAACATTTTAATGGTTTTACTTTTTCATAAAAACATAAACAACCATATGCAGCTATAGCAGATTACCAAAGACTAACACTGAATAAGGCATTGAAACTTTTTAAAGTTAATTTATTTAGTGTGTCGATGTCTACCAAAATGAGTGTGTGGAGGTCAGAGGACAACTTTGTTTTGTAGATTCTCACCTTCTACCTTGACGAAAGTGCTGGGGGTGGAACTCAGATCTGAGGAGAGTAAGGCTTGTTGAAGCATGTGCCTTAACCTCTGGAACACTGGTTCAACACTAATTATTTCCAACAACTTTACAAGCCTGACATCTTTACACATTAACCTACTCCATACTAAGTGGGCCAGTACTGTCATTTCTTTTCTATTTGTTGATAGTGACTGTTGCTCAATTTCTGTAGACAAAAGTTGCCAGTTCAACCCAGGACTTTAAAATTTCAGCATTATTTTAAAATAAAGTAAAACAAATACTTAACTATACATTCAGAAATAATAACACACACTTTGTAAGATATAGAAAGAAAATACAGGTTTAATGGTTAGGAAGCAACCAGAACTTATACATTCAAGAACTGTTTCTCAGCTGGACACAGAGACATATGCATCCGTGAAACCACCTACTCAGGAGGCTGAGATAGGAGATGAGAACTTGAGCCTATTAGTTTGGGATCATCATAGGCAACATGCAGAAACTGTGTTTCAAAAAAAATCAACACCAACAAAAACAAATTGTTAGCTCTGAAAACACATACAAGTAACATTATACAGACTAAACAAGTTATACTTAAGAATATATTTAGGAATATACACATATAGATACAAATGAGTAATAATTAGTGTAAAAAGAGGGCATGGATTTGAATGAGGATTTGGAGGGAGAACTGGGAAGGAAAATATGTTCTATTATAATCTCAGAAAGTATAAGGCTGTGGAGAAACAGAGAAAGTTGTGAAAAGAACTGATTCTTTAAAAGAAGAAGGGATGCAAAGATAGCTTAGCATTCAAGAGCATTGACTGCTTTTACAGAGGACCCAGTTCCCAGCATCCACACAGCAGCTCACAACTGTGAATACAGGGCCAGAGAATCCAATATGGGGAATTTCCTTCTTATGGCCTCCACAGGGATCAGGCACACATGTGGCACACAGACATACATGTAGGAAAACACCCATACATATAAAAATAAAATTTTATAAAATAAATATGGTACAAGATTGTTAACAAATGAAAGAATATTTACAAATAACTTGACGAAGTTCAACAATCGGTCTTTTTAGAAATTGGTTAAATTAATTATATATACTAAATTATATAATGCAACATTATGTATTATTTATATCAGAGAAAAGAAAATGTATTATTTTCAAATTAATAATGTCTAATGATGGTTCACAAGAATGGGGGATTGTTTTTGTACCTATTCAATGTTGTTTCTGACATTCTGGTCAATGTAGTTATATATAAGATAAACATATCACTTTTCAAAGATTCAAAGAGGATGAAACTATGTTTGCTAACAGATAAAGTTATCTAAACACTAGAGACTAGTGGATTAAATAAAAGACTAACACAGTGATTAATTATTATAAGTACAAAGTGAATGACTTCCTTTTGTACCACTAATGATCAGATAAACATAAATCCCAACAGGTTAAATAAAATACACTGTGCTTAGTAGCAACAGACACATAGGGGAAATTCCTGTTTATTTTAAAGAAAATGAGAAAGCTTAGTTAAAAGACATTTGAAGAATTTTGTGTAACTAGAAAGAGAAGAGAGAACATTAAAAACAAATTTCTCAATTAAATTTATTTGAACTCATCTCAATCAAAAACAGAAATACATGTTTCAGAACTCTTCAAAACTATTTGAAAGGTTTTCTAGAAATGTAAATAATTAGAACAGATAAATAAGCAAACAAAATTAGAGAGGAATATATCTTACATTAACAGTCATTAAAGCACAGCTAAACTTACAGTAATTTTATCAACTACTTTCACACAAGTTAGAAAAGAAAAATGGCCCCCAAAGAAATACAACCATGAAAAACAGAATGTTTTAATGCAAACATCTGTAGAAAGATGACTTTTATATCAATTTTTTGACAAGGGGTTAAGTGAAAACGCAAAAGATTTTACATTATGAAACAGCATAACACCTTATAGCCATCTACAGTGTCTCTTAAATATTTATAACTTATGAATAATTTTAAAAGAAAAATATTTAGAAACTTTCAAAAGTATAAATGACTGTTAATTTGGAACTGGAAACTGAAACTCAATATGCAACAGACATTGGTTCTCTGAGTACCTGAAATTAATTACAGAAATGAGGAATCATCTATCAATGTTTTTCAACCTATGGGTTTTGACCCGTTTTGGGGGGGGGTGTCAAATGACCCTTTCACAGAGGTTGCCTATGACCATTGGAATATAGATTATTACATTATGATTTATAACAGTAGTAAATTAATTATGAAGTAGCAACGAAAATAATCTTATGGTTATGAGATCACCAAAACATGAAAAACTATATTAAAGGTTCGCAGCATCAGGAAGGTTAAGACCACTGCTCTAACAAGTAATTTGTGAAGCAGTTTTAGGTTCCATAACCTAATACCATGTTTCATTTCTATTTAATGCCTCTAATCTGATTATTTATACATTAATCATTGGTTGGGTATTGTGCTATATATTTGGGGTGCATACAATTGTGAGAAAAACATCATGGACACTCAGTATTATATAGTCTTTTTTTTCCAACTTTTTTTATTTGACTTAGAAACAGGATTGCTTTACATGACAATCCCAGTTCCCTTCTCCCAACCGTCCGCCCTACCCCCTGCCCAACTAAAACCTTATCTGTCACATATCTTTTCTGCTCCCCTTGAATGGTGAGGACTTCCATAAGGTGTCATCAATGTCTATTGTATCCTTTGGGATAGGGCCTAGGCCCACCCCCGTGTGTCTTGGCTCAGGGAGTATTCCTCTATATGGAATGGGCTCCCAAAGTCCACACCTACGCTAGGGATAAATACTGGGCTTCTACAGGAGGTTCCATAGATTTCTGAGGTTTCCTCACAGAAACCCATGTTCCTAGAGTCTGGATCAGTCCCATGCTGGTATTCGAGCTATCAGACTGGGGAGCAAGAGTTCCCAGATGATCAGGTCAGCTGTTTCTGTGGGTTTCACCAGCCTGGTCTGGACCTCTGTGCTCTACACTGGTGCTTCTCTGCATCTGAGTTCCAGTTCAGTTCGGTGATTAGTTGTGGGTGTCTGCTTCTACTTCCACCAGCTGCTGGGTGAAGGCTATAGGATGGCATATAAGTCAGTCATCAATCTCATAATCAG